ACCTCACTGCTTTTTGTGCAACTGTGCTGCAGTCCAGGTGGGACTCTGAGGCTGCCTGTGAGCTGCTTGGGGCTTCAAAACCCATAGTTTCATAGAATGGTTTGGGTTGGAAGGGACCTTAAAGCCCATCCAGTACCACCCCCTGCCCTGGGCAGGGACACCTCCCACCACACCAGGTTGCTCAAAGCCTTGTCCAACCTGGCCTGGAGCACCATCTCTGGAAAAGGAGAGGTTGTTAGAAGTATCTGATATGGTCTTCTGCACAAGAGGTTGTAGGACCTCCCAGAGTTCAGTTGTATTTGAAGTTGTGGGTTGAGCTCCCAGGAGTGTTTCAGGAGTGTTTCATGCATGTGGCCAGTGCAGTGCTGTTGCCAAAGGAAGCCATACCGGGGAGCCATGTAGGGTTGGTGGTCCACCATCACTGGCATCTTTTCCAAAGTACAGTTTCCTCTACTCTTAAGTGAGAATGTAAGACGAGCATTGATGGGTCTGCACCTGGTTATTAAAAGTGGAGCCTCCAGAAGGATGTGAGAACTGGGCAGATTTGGTATGACACTTTCCCAACTGTCCACCCTCTGATCTTTCAACATCTCCAGGACTTTCCCAGCCAGAGATGATGTCCGTCTTACTGGTAACCATCACTGCTGTCTGCTCTGTGACATGACCAGTCTTTCCTTGAGCTCCTGCAGATATTTAGTGTGCATAACATCCTGCAGCGAGGAGCTAACCTGCTTAGCTGGGTCATGTGTGAAGAAACCACTGTCTCTTGGCTGGTTTTGGACTTGTCACCTGCTACTCTCGTTTCTTGTCCCCTCATTCTTGCACTGAACAGGCTGCCATCACCTCCATGGCTGCTGATGGGTCCCTCCTCTGGATTGGGAAGGGTCTCTGCCCCAGGTTTGTGATGGGTGATAAAGATGGGGAAGGTCTTTGGTGTGGTCACCTTGGGAGAAGATCCAGATCTCGTGTCCTTCGCCTTTTGCAGCTTTGAGAGTCGTCGTGAGCTGGAGCTGCAGTGGCTTTTGCTCCTGGCTTGCAGCAGGATGAGTAATGTAGGGCACAAGAACTGCTCCTTCTGGGATTTCAGTCCGAGCACGTGATTAATGATGATCTAGTTATATTTTATGACTTGTCGCTTGGCCAATTATTAATCTGTTTTAATATATTCCGCGTTATGTAATGGAATACCAGTTCCTTGAGAAATCATACTTTACAAAGTTAAATGATTACCGAGCTCTACGCATGTTGCATCAGAGCTGGTGCAGTTTGCAGCCAATTCTTGTCGTCTTCTTAAAAACACACACAATTGATTTAAGACCTGCGTGTCGATAGACGGTGGTTATTTACTTCCTAAAATTCCCAATTAGGTTTTATACCGGCGTTTCCCTCGTCTTCGGCTGCTGGAATCACAGAATCACAGAATCACAGAATCTTCTAGGTTGGAAGGGACCTTAAAGATCATCTTGTCCAACCGTCAACCCAACTGACAAAAATAGACACCCACACAACAAACAAGGAGCATCATCACTAAACCAGACCTCCCAGCACTACATCAACCTGTCTTTTGAACACCTCCAGGGATGGGGCCTCAACCCCCTCCCTGGGCAGCCCATTCCAATGCCTGAGAACCCTTTCAGTGAAAAAATTTTTCCTAATGTCCAGCCTGAACCTCCCCTGGGGCAACTTGAGGCCATTTCCTCTCGTCCTGTCGCCTGTGACTTGAGAGAAGAGACCGACCCCCACCTCTCTACACCCTCCTTTCAGGGAGTTGGAGAGAGCAATAAGGTCTCCCCTCAGCCTCCTCTTCTCCAGGCTGAATAACCCCAGTTCCCTCAGCCTCTCCTCATAAGACTTATTCTCCAGACCCCTCACCAGCTTTGTTGCCCTGGACTGAGAGCTTGTTATTAGCCCTGTCCTCCTCCTCCGAGTGTTGTCACAGCAGCCTGTGTCCTCCGAGGCTCTCGGAGCTCCGTAGTGAACACTTGGGGGAAGATGCCCTAAATGCTCCGGAGTTTTTTTCCCCGTTGGGCTCTTTGAGAGCCCCTGGGATGCAGCTGAAGATCTCCTGCCATAAACCAGCCCCGTCTCCTCTTGCCGTTGTTTCACATCTGCCCGCAGTGCTCTTTGGAAGAGAAAATGTTTCCTGTGGCATGACTATACCATCTGGTTTCTCTCTTAATTAATGGACAGAAATATTTGTTGCGTTCTTCTGCCGCTCCTGTAACATCGCTGGTGGTTGCTCGGTGGCTGTGCAGTCACACTCCTCGGCCCTTGCTGGAATTTACTGGTTTTAGGTAATTTTTATAACCTGCTAGGCTCAAACCTGTGAGTATTGTGGCTCCTCTCGTCCTGTTTTCCTTCCCTTGCTCCTGCGTATCACTTCATTTCTGATGTATTTCAATCTTACAGGTTTTTTTCTCTTTGTTACGTATGTTTTTTTATTCTGATTGTGATTTCCTTTTCATGAGAGCCAGGTTGAGAAGAGTTATTTTATTTTTTTTAAAAGAGGAGCGTCTTCCCTTTTTAGTTTTGGGAGCTTTGTCCCCTCTAGACACACACCTCACCCCAGGAATCTGGAAACATATTTTTAAAGTTTCTGTTATTATTTATGTTTTTCTGGTTTTAACGTCCATTCCTTTGCATCATTTGGTCTATTTATTGTAGTGAAAGTACCTGGGACATATATATATAAAAAAATAATTTAAAAATTCAAAGAACATCTCCTTCTTGTAAAATGCAACTTTCAAACTGGAAGCCTGAGGAATACAGCAGTTTATGCATCTTTTGTGATCATTTATGTGCACGTGTGTAAAAACCAGATGTTTAAGGAGGCAGGTGTCCCATCTCCCGTCGGGATGTGCTGTAGTCACACCTCTCTCTTGGGATGCGGGTTCTGGAGATGTTCCTTGCTGGTGCCTTGGAGATGTTGCTGCTGCCTGAGTTCTCCTCCCTCCTTTTGCCTACTTGATTTTTCATGAATAAATTGCAACGAGTGACTTATAAGAGTCTTGTGTTGCTAATGGTGGGTGCTTTAAGACAATATTCTAACGACCATGTCCATGTAAGAAATTTCTTCTGTAATAGCAGTGATGGGGACAAGGAGGTTTTGAACTAATGATGGTGCTCCCTCATCGAGCTTCAGATGCTGGGGTTTAGAAGTATAAATTTAACCCAGTAATCTCTCTCCCATGAGAGAGAAAGAGAAAGAAAGAAAATAGGCACATCCTGGAAGTTATGGTGGACTCATGAAGTGGTTGTTCCTTGGGGACCAAACCTTATCCACTGTAGCAGGTCTTTGGGGCCAGTTGGGCTACTGAGGACCTGCAGACATTTCCATCCAGCAGAGAATCATAGAATAGTTTGGGTTGGAAGGGACCTTTGAAGGTCATCTATTCTCTCCACATTCGTGGACCTTTTTATTGACTGGCACCCTGGAATTACCAGCTCTGGTTTCCAGCCAGCTCCTGGGTGTCGAAGGTTGATTAAGATGAATTGCATCCGGTAGCTACTACGTATAAAAGTTCAAAAACAGTATTGGGACTTGTGTCTCAGAGTATTTGATGGGGTAGTAGCAAGCTTGGCTCTAGAAACCACAATATGTGGAGTAGCTTGGAAGGAAGGTTGTGAAGCTCAGCTCAGGGTTTCCAAGGTTGTTGTTTTAAAAATTACTTATTTCTTTCATTAGAATTCAGGCAGTGCATCACAATATGAAGAGACCAGTTTTTTGAACTTAAATTTTTCAACCAAGCAAGGTCTTGGCAAGCCCCAGATTTGTTGATGTATGAACATTTGACAGGCTGAGAGAGGAGGGGAGGGTCAGCCTGGAGAAGAGAAGGCTCCAGGGAGACCTTGGAGCCCCTTCCAGTCCCTCAAGAAGGGGCCTCCAGGAAAGGTGGGGGAGGGACTCTGGCTGAGGGAGGGGAGCCCTAGGAGGAGGGGGAAGGGTTGGACCCTGCAAGAGGGGAGATGGAGCTGAGCTGTGGGGAAGAACTTGTTTGGTGGGAGGGTGGTGAGAGCCTGGCCCAGGTTGCCCCGAGAAGCTGTGGCTGCCCCATCCCTGGAGGGGTTGAAGGGCAGGTTGGAGGGGGCTTGGAGCAACCTGGTGTGGTGGGAGGTGTCCCTGCCCAGGGCAGGGGGTGGGAATGAGATGATCTTTATAGGACTCTTCGAACCCAAACCATTCTGTGCTTCTATGATTTGGCTCAACAAGAAGGCTCAGACTGGTAGAATTTAGAGGAGAGGGGATAGGTAGCTGAAGAAAATGGACACACTTCAGTCTTAGTGTCTTTTTATGGTGTGTGTGCTTCAGGAGAGAAATAATTACGCCCATCTGAGGTTCAGAGGGTGCCTGGCTTATCGAAGGTGATACGGAAAGTCCACAGAAGAGGAAGAAACGGAGAAATCCCCTTGGTCCTGTTGTAGCTTAATGCTCAGTGACACCAGCAGTTTGCTCTCCTGCCTTGGTGAGGCAGAGCAAGGATCTCGATCTCCGGGAGCCGTACGAGTTGGGGGGTGGGCTGCAGCCCCTTGGGGGGGTCTAACACCCACTGCCATCTTCTGCTGCTGGTTTTTATCTCCCGCCTTGTGGAGATGCTGTCTCGCCGCGGCAGATTTGCTGCTAGATCTGTGCTGCTTTTTTTTCTGGAGGGTAATCTTTATTTCTTAGGAGTGGCGTCGGCAAAGAGGGAGGGGAGAATTTGAAAAAAACCCAACGTATCAGTTGGAATATTACCCTTTCGTTTACTTTATTTGCCCAGGTAGCTTAAAGCTTGAGGAACCTTGATGAGTTCTTTTCTGAGGAAATAAAAAAGATACCTTGCAATTGATAGTGTTGGGGTCAGTGGGCTGTTAGTGGTGCTGCTGCTAATTAATAGTTGACCTCAACTTTGCTGTTTTTCTGCTTAAAAGGCTGAAAATTTGCATCGCGTGGATAATAATCGGGAAAGATAAATGAAAGATAAATGAAAGATAATATGAACAACCTGTCTTTTCCTCCACAGGACCCAGTGATTGATGCTGGTCCCCGCTCAGAAGAGTTCATGTGAAGCCTGCCCATGGAAGGTCGATGCCTGCCTTCGCTGAGGCTCTAGGATTCTGTCATTTTGCTGTTTAATCAGCTGAAGAATCCAGTTTTTCCCATGAACCATCTTTCACCTCGGGAAGAGAGAGGTAAGGTTTGCAGGGCTCTCTTTCTTCTTTCCTCTGGCGGCAAATGTTTAAACCTGTCATGGAGGTGGTTTGTGCTGGAGCACCTCTTCATGCGGAATTAATTACTGAGACTGCTGAAAGCAAAAGTCCCTGGTTTTCTCTGTCCTTGGCATCCTTTGGGTTGTTTTGCCGTGCGGGAGCTGTGCAGTCAGGCTGCGTTGTGTTTGTAGCTACCAGGGTTGTTTTAAAAGCTCAGAAGAAGGATGAAACCGTTGCCCGAATCGACTGCCCTTTCTCAATATGTTTTGCAAAATTGAAGAGCTTCGTTGCTGCTCTGGCAGGATGACGTGCAGGGGATTTGTGCTGAAGGATAAATATGTGGTTTTGATAAGTCGGTGTTAGGCTGGAGGGGGGCTCGGGGTGTGTGGGTCAGGTGAATCGAGTCCATAAGTGGAGAATTTTTAAAAAGGCACAAACTTGGGAAATCAAACTGTTGTAGGGCTGCTACGGCTTCCAGAGCAAGGAGAAGGTTCTCAGCATCCTTGTTAATCTTCCGAGCTGCTGCGTGTAACAACTTGAACACTCCTCTGGTTTGCCCACAGCCAGCAATGTCTTAAAGAAAAATGAGTGTAATGGCATGGTAACTCGCGAGGACAGTAGTATATATTTAGAAAAGAACAAAATGGTAAAACAGGTAGCAGTTGGACAATGTGTTGGCTGCAGCTGCTGCACGGCTGTGGGATTTGCAGGCTCTCTCCCAGGCTGGGGGTGCTCACTGGTGTGGACCATGAGTATGTGGGAGCGAGGAGGACCTGTACCCCTGCTAAATTCCCCTGCTAAAGGGAAAAATGGTTGCTAGCTGACGTGCCGTAAGGCAAAAATTACATATATCGCTAGAGCTGCCTTTGTCTGGTGAAATTTTATATTGCTTCTATCACAGTTCCCTGCCTGAGATAGCTGGTGTTGCAAGAAACGTCTGCGTCAGAGCTGGTTTTGGCTGGAGCGTGATGGAAAATGGGATATTTCCTTGTGGATTGAGGGTGGCTTGCTCCTGCATGGTTTAAATACTGGTCCCAGTAAGATACTGGTGTTGTATGTCCTCCACAGGCTGCTTTGCCCACCTGGTTTCTGTCCTTGAATTGACTGCTTCCCTAAACTGGGGTGGGATGATCCTGTGGTGGATGATCCTTGGAGATGTCGGTGTCCCCCTTGTCCTCCCCAGTCGGTTTGGTGGCTGGAGGACAATAATCAGGCACCCGGGATGGAGCCCTTTGCCCCGCTCCCTCTGCCTGTCTGGGGTTTGACATGGATTTTTGGACAAGGCTCTTTGCTCTCTGCCTCGCTGTCTTCCATTTGTAGGCGCAAATGATGGCGGTAATTAGTCGTGGTTGTAAAATTTGGAAATAATGTCACTTCTGTGTTGCTGTCTGCTGTCCCAACCTGCTCCCTCGGAGTGGCCGGGATGGAGGGAAGCTGGGGGGCTGCTCCCGAGGGGTAAGGAAGGAGCAGAGCCCCAACCCAATGCTGGAAGTGCTGCCCAGAGTTAATTATTAAACCGCACTCTGCCCCATAAATGTACAATTGGATTCAGGATTTTTCACCGCAGAAAGATCACCTTTCCCTCTGGACATAGCAGCTGCTTTTTGGTTGGAAGTGGGTAAAGCGTATCACACACAAACAAAAAAGTCTTAACTCCTGTGACTTTTAAGATATTTTTATTTTTCTCTCTGGTATTTGACCAGAGAAGGGGTTGTGAAGCCTTGAAAAAGGCTGCCCATGGCAGTGGTGGAGTCCCCATCCCTGGAGGGATTTAAAAGCTGGGCAGACATGGTGCTGAGGGACATGGGTCAGTGGTGGGTTTGTCAGTGGTGGGTTGATGGTTGGACTCCATGATCTTGAAGGTCCTGTCCAACCTGGACAACTCTATGATTCAGCTTTCGAAGAGGTGACCTCGCTGGGTGGTGGTGGGTTGTCCCTTCTGCCAACCTCCTGCTTTCCAGGCCCTGATTAATACCTGCTCAGGTTGGGGTGTACACAGCTTTTTCTTCTTTATTTTCTCCTTTCCCCCGCTCCTCTCCAAAGCAATCAGAACAAATCTCTCACCCAGCAGTGGCCAGGCTTTACTTGAGATATCTCCTACCATCAGGCAGCTCGAGGGATGCAGCCCAGGCAAGTCGAGGGTTAAATTCTTAATTGTGAAATTGGATATCATTGCAGGGAGGAAGAGTGAGTTCTGGATTAATTTTAAGGGTGAGGTGCCTCCTCAGCTGCTCTGGATTTCCCCTAATTTGGGGGACTGACAGACTAGCCCCTGCATGGGGGGGAGCCGGGGGGAGCCCTGCCTTCATCCCACCTGGCACCTCCCAGCTCCTCTTTTTCTCCCCCCCCCCCCCCCCCCCCGTCTTATTAAATTTAATTTTTTTCCTCTAGCAAATGGACTTTTTGGGCTTGGCATTAAATCCAGTTGCTGTGATTGAGTTCCCATCCCCTTTCTCCCCTGCGATGGGGCTTTGAGATGAAAATAATGTAAATGCAATCACCGCGGCGCTCCCTCCCCCACCTTAGCCCTAGGTCTTTGCTGAGCCAAAACTCCCTCTTTATTCCTTAATGATCGTATTCCTTCTACTTTAAGCAGATTTCCTGCAGTTAACAGCGTTTTTGGTGGGTTTTTTTTTTGTTGTTGTTTGTTTTTCAAGTGTTGCAACACTTTATAAATGGTATCTCGTGAGAGGTATTTACTGGAGGTGAGTTTCCTTGAAGTCGTAACCTCTGCCTGGCTGTTCCCTTTTCCTGGGGGCAGCTGGTGGGGTAGGAAGGACACAGATGACAGGGTAGGAAGGACACAGATGATGGGGTAGGAAGGACACAGATGATGGGGTAGGAAGGACACAGATGATGGGCTTGGCAGTCCCCCCTACTTCTGAATCCTCTGTTCTTCTACCTCTTTTGTTAGTTGGAGAGAGGGGGTGTTGTTTCAGCCATGGGTTTGAAAAGGAGTCCTGCTGCTCAAGACAAAGATGCACGAAGCCCTTCTGGGGATTTAGGAAGAAGAAATCCCAGACTTGTCTCGCCATGGAGGAATTAAAAGCCGTTGGGGCGCTCCTGAAGCCTCGCTTTTCAAAAGCAAAGAGCACAAACAAACCAGGAACCCCCTGCCATGCCCACTGGAAAAGGCTCTCCAGGTTGCCTGGTAGAGGACAGACAGGACAAGCGCCGTGGACCACGTGCTTGTGGACCACGTGGACCACCCTTTAGGTATTTACAGGCATAATACTTCAAGGGTGGGTGTCAAGAGGATGGGGCAAGTCTTTTCTCAGTGGTCCCCAGGGACAGGACAAGAGGGAATGGGCACACTTGAATGTAGGAAGTTCCATCTCAACATGAGGAGGAACTTCTTTCCTGTGAGGGTGACAGAGCCCTGGAAGAGGTCGCCCAGGGAGGTGGTGGAGTCTCCTTCTCTGGAGACATTCAAACCCTGATTGGACACGTTCCTGTGGGACCTGCTCTGGGTGACCCTGCTCTGGCAGGGGGTTGGAGGAGATGATCTCCAGAGGTCCCTTCCAACCCCATAGCATTCTGTGATTCTGTGGAGGGAGAGGTCTGGAGCTTCTGCTGCCTTCCAGAGGTCACCCACCAGCCATAAAGCATCTTCAGGTTGGGCTTCTTGTCCTTCTGCTGGCCAGGCTGCACCTGCAGTAACAGGAGATGTGTCTCTCTCTTTAAGTTGCCAAATACAAATGCTGAAGAATTGAGGGTTTTTTTGGTTTTTTGGGGGTTGTTTTTTCTTGTATAGAAGAAAATGTTTCTTTTCATCTTTATTGTGAAGATACTACAGCTGGCTGTCACTAGTGATAAATGTTATATTAAAAGCATTCACCCCATTAAAGGTGTTTGACTCTTAACTGAGGCTCCCCCCATTTTGCTTTTATTTGGCCATTTGATTCGCTGCAGTCCTCGTTTGCGTGATGTTGAAATACTTCTTTCTGGTGGATATTTATATGTTGGAGGCACCTGCGTGTGGCTGAAGACAAAAGTTTCAAGCCCGTGTTGAGAAGAAAACAGCTGATGGGATTTCAGGTGCCCGCTGGTGACTTTGGCTCTTCTGTGTGAGATGAAGGAGGAACTGTTTTGGTACGGGAGCTGGTTGTAGTTTCACATCTGAGAACTCTTTCTGTTCCTTTTTTTCTAAAAATACCTTTAGATGATGTTGTTTTCACACATAAATCCTATTGTTGGACTTGGATTGTTTATACAGAAAATATGTGAGACGCACACTTCTTTTACTAAATAGAACCTTTTGGTGCTGCTCCTTCAAAAAATCAAAATATCTAAGTGAGGATTTGGTCATGTTCCATCAAACGTTGCTTGCCCAGCAGCTTTGATTAGATCTGTTCGTGGCTATTCCATTTTCATATCCACTTGCCACTTTGCTTATGTTTTGGAAGAAACCACTTCATCCACTTGCCTTATTACACCTAGAATTTTTTTAGGAAGTGCAGCTTTTTCTTAGGCTTTCATATTTCTATTCAAATCCAGCCTAATTCTTTGGCCATAACCAGCTACAGAGACCCTCCAATGCCTGAGGTGTCACTGTCCCTCCACCATCGGTCACTACCTACATGGCAAAGCTGAGCAATTTATCATCACCTTTCCTGCACGGCTACAGCATTAATGCTGGTTGTAGCCCCTTCCTCCGGGTCTGAGGTGGTTCCTTGAACAACAGAACCTCAATTCATCGTTGTCTCCAGCCCCACCATTTAGGATGCTCCTGCTGTGCCCAGGAGACGAGGTGGAAACGTGTTTTTGTCTTGGCTGCATCCAACAGGACGGTAAATGATGCTGGATACGTTAATGGCTTCTTCATCTGTTGGGTTCTCTGCCGTCCTCGAGGAATTTCTCCTTCCTGGGCCACAAAGATGATGTATCGTCTCATTGAAAACCACATTCAAGCGAGTCCCTCTTTTTTTTTCAGTGTTTAATGATTTCCTGCTCTTTGCTTAACGTAGTAGTTGCTGTGCAAG